AGGATGGTGAGTACGTCGCAGAGTTTGGCGCGGAGAAGTAGGAGAGCAGCGAGGTGATGGCCTCCGTCTGGAGCACGAAATTCAACCACGGTGTTGGCACGGCGATGGCATGTCAGATTCCGAGCCAACGGGGAATCGAGGTCGCTGATGCAGAAGGTCTTGGGCTTCTTTTGGGTGGGCGATTCGGTGACGGCGAACTCGAGCCAGCAACTTCCTGAGCAATGCGAATTAACGATTACGGTCAATTTGTGAACGTTGATCTCGTTGGTACAGACACCACCTGGAATAATGTCGATAGTCTCCGCCCGGGTCCTGCGGTCAACTTGAAGGAGATTATTCAGATCCTCAGTCTTGCCAACCTCACCCCCGGATCGTCTGCCTGATCTCACAGGTGAGGGCCGAGACTGTAGTCATGGTTTGTCGTTGGTAATTGTAGTCTTCTGGCTAGGTGACTGGCGAGTGTCGACGATGGTCAGATCCGGGTCGAGGGCGGGCTGATGATGGTGACAGAACTGGCGTTGCTCACAGATAAATCAGAAGTCTGGTAGAGATAATTGCAAGAGGAGTAATATTCACCCGGGAGATAAGTACCCAAAAATTTGAAAACTCTTCCTCTGTTGATTCACATTTATTCACTTATACGGAAGAAGCAACTATCAGACCCATGTGCGCTTTCGACGATGTCAATCAGCGGTCCAAGTAAACACAGATTAACAGACGAAAGTACGGAGCAACCGATAGAGGATATCGACAGTAGATAGGCACTTAGGAAGGTGTGTTGATATTAAACGAGGCGTTAGTAGCAACCTGGTCCAGTAGACGAAGAGAAAGGCAACCGCCCTATCGTTCAATTAAAACAACTATGTCCAAAAAGCCTATATATAAACCCCGTGTCCATTTGCTCAACTAGTCGTGGCAAATCCCCTTCTCATTCCTCCTCGTCATATTTTACATGAACCCCGTCATAAAACGTTATACAAATATCGAAACCTCGAGAAAAAGAAAAAAAAAGAAAGGAAAAGAATCACCCAATAACATCCCTCGTCGAAACTGTCGTAAATATGTTTCACGAAAAGTAAAAGTCCAAAAGTCCAAACAGTCATGGGCCTATCAAAGTCGTCATTTCTTTTTCCTCCCTTGCTCCTGGCTTGTGATGAGGAAGATAAATTCTTCCTGTATGAAAATAAAAGGAGAAATGGTAAAGGTGATTAAAAGTTTTAGAGAAAAGACGTTTAGTGTGAAATAGGAAAGGCGGCCGAAGTCGAAGTGAAATATTTCGAGGGAATTAAGAGGGTGTATGTAATCAAGGCCGTTGCTGTGATGGTGGTGATAGAATAGTGGTACAGAGGTCTGTGGTCGGTAGCGGTATAGGTCAGTGGTAGATGACGGTACATGGTGAAGAACATGTCGGTGAAGCATAAATTGGTGAAAGGGTTTTGGTGAAGTCGGTATATAGATGGTACACCGTACAAGTGAGCTCAGTTCTACCAGCTCGACAGGTCGTCCACCTCACGGGTAGCATCGACGCCCTCCATCCCATAGTCCATACACGATGACTGGCCTCTCACGCTGAGAAGCGCGGGATCAATCATGGTGTCTGACATGTCCTGGTTGTTTCTATTGTAGTAATAACCGGACCATTCGGGAGCTGGCTGCTGGTTTACCGTGAGAACTGGAACCCCCAATGGGTATCCACCTTCCAGTTGAGGGGATTTATCAAACGGCCTGCTGACACCAATAAGTGTAGAATCCTGGGTATGGCCTTGATCGTTTACATTCTGGCTGAAAGTAGAAGTGCCAGAATAAGCAGCTAAATCAAACTCTGCAGACCTGTCGGCCAAGCTCTCAGGAACCTGAGGCGAACCGGGAGAAGGATTGGGGTGGGATGGCGACGGAGGCACCGAGTTGGCACTGCATCCACACAGCTCGGACACAGGAAGACAGAGAGCCTCAGGGAGACCCCTCGGTGCCGGCGAAGTGGATTCGGAGTACGGCTTAGAACCCAACCTGACAGCCCAGAGTACCAACAGCTCACTATCGGGCACATGCCTGGTCTCCAGCATCTTCCTCAACACGATTGATGTGTGCGGCTGCCACTTCAAGTCTTTGCCCTTGGGGTTTCGATTCTTCCAGCCATCATAGATACCTGCTTGCCGCATGAGATTTCGGAAGCAGGTTGAGTGGGACCAGGCCTGGTTGGGGCGATTGGCCTCGACGTGGTTGGCGACGTGATGAAAGTAATCAGTAGCTGTCTCGGCAGGGTCGGCGGCGTCAGGTGTTTCGAAGACATGCTTGCAGTTGGTAAAGCCACAGGCGAAGACAACTCGGGGGCAGAGTATGGTCGTGATGCAATCCGAAGACCGGTGGAGGTTGCCGTGACTGGGCTCCTTTAGGTGCGCTTTCATCCCCGGAAGACAGTCATATGTCTTGCCGCAGCCACGCTTCGGGCAGGCCCACTGTGCATTGGTGTTATGATAATTTCGCATATGGCGTTTAAGATCATTCTTCCGGCGACAGGCCGTGTATGCCCCAACTTCAGAGCAGAGGGGGCACTGGAGATAGTCATCTTTGCTAGCCACGGTTGCTGGTGACGAGGCACGCGGGCGACCTGTGGTGGCACCGAGAGAACGTCGTCCAGTGCGCCGTTGATGTGAGACAGGAGGTGGTTTAAGTCTTGTAGCGGAGGATATGTTGTCATTCTCGGCAATGGTAGTCGCGGGAGAGAGGCGTGAGGATGGACCTGTATTCGTGTCAGAGCTCGTCTCGAGGATCACGGCCATATCAGACTTGCGTTGAACATCTTCCAACTCCGGAACAACTGCCAATCCTTTCCCATGAAAGTTTAAGTACCCACCAAGACTTATGTAAGGGCTGGGAAAATCCGAGTTCGGGGATTTCTTGAGCAATTGTTCAAGGTTGATGTTGGTGCTTTGCATAGCCATAATAGACCGTCGAGATGCCGGACGCGTTGTGGTTGTGGTTGGTTGATTTTGCTGCTGTGAGACTGGAAGGACACGGCGAGGTTGAACAGAACCGGACTGAGGTTAAGGATGGGATCGCGGGCGTCGAAGCAACTCGAGAGATGGGCACGGAACGTGTCGAGTATAAAAAGGAGGGTGGGTAGTGTGGGGATGAGGAATGCCCCAACGAAGTCAATAAATATGAAGTGATGAATGAAGGTGTAAGCCGTGATGGGTTGAAAGGAGTGCAACAAAAAGTGCAAGGAGCACACGAAGGAGAGATGCCAGCCGGTTGCTGAGGACAGGAAACGAAAAGCAAAAAGGGAAAATGTCAAGTTATAAGAACAAACCCGGAAATGAGTTGAGCGGTGCCAACAAGGCTTTCCGGTCTCATCAGTCATCTTGAAAATCTCAGCGTAAACCTACGCCCAAGTGCAGCCCACTTTTCTCCTTTTGTTTTTCTTTTTTTTTTTTGTGTTGTTGGCCAACACGGCGAGCTGGAGGTCGATGCCGGGGTGCTTGCCTGTCATTGTCAAAAAAGTACCTAATCCAGACTTGAGGTCCAGCTGGGATTGGCGGCATTCACAGAAAAAGCCCGTTCGTACCTGCATCTGACGTGAACGATCTAGATCCACGATCGGCGGGAAGCCAGGAGCTCTGCATCTCCAATTCCAAATAGGAATAAGCCACTGGTTCCAAAGAGTGGGATGAGATGACTGGAGTGTCGAAGAAATTTTTTCTTTTGGAACTGGCTGCCTGTGACGTTGACAGCAATTGAGGAGGTCTTACATGGGGGTCGGATATTCGGGTGCTAAAAGGTTTTGGAGAAGAAAAGAACAAGGCAATTTCCAAGAGCAAGGTAGCAGCTGAGACAGATTGTAGTGATGTAACCTGGTTTCTCCGTCGATCCCTAGATCCCGGGTGTCAATCGCTGCTTTTAGAAGCGTACCTAGTATAGTCTACATTCACGACCAGCCCGATGATAATGTTATTATGATTAACAGAGTGGTTCATGAAATTGCAAGCGGGGGATAACTTCACCTGGAACGCCCGTCATCCAAGTTGCGGTGAGCTTTCATTACCACCCACTATCACAGCAGCTGTCTGATCATGAAACACGCCCTGAGAAGAAACTTCTGCCACGTTGACGTGGACACCTTCGAGAAGGTGGGCTAGGCAGTTTTGTTTCTGTGAAGAGCGTCATCAGACAGCGTGGGAAATTGAGCGGAGAGAGGAAGCAGTCACGGCAACAGCAGCTTTCATCAATCGGCACACACCGAAACCCGCCCGTTCCATGAGGCCGGGCCCAGCTGGACGTGGTGAGAGCCGTGCGCCTCCTCTAGCGTTGGGGTAGTAAACATTCGCAATGCTGGCCTTCATTTCGCAAAACGAGCTAGCATGGTCTCTTGACACTGCTGCATGCAGACAAGATGAAAATGGCCTGTTGCGACGTCAACAGTGATTTGGAATGGGGGAAAGTGAACAGTGGCTGGCAGGCTCGAAAGGGAAAAACCTTCAGTTCATGGGCTGCTGCAAGGCGTCCTTGGCGAACCATCGCCATGTCCGCGCCAGGGTCAAAGTGTGCGCTGGCAAGGCGGCAGGCTGCGATTCAGCAAGACCGCTGAGCGAAAAGAATCCTGACTCTTGGAACAACATATTGAGAAGCAAGGTAAAGGAGAAACAAAAAACTCGATCGTGTTATGAATGTCATGAAATGCTCAATAGCCATGGTATCCCCCTCGTCCAATAGGTATGTATGTATGTACAGCCCGCCAAAATTGGTGGGGAAAGAAAAACGGCGACGCCCTCCAGCTCGCTCCCAGTCTCTCCTTTTTGAACATCAGATCCGGCCGCGGACCTCCAACCGCCATTTTTCACCGACCTGGTAATGCACAATGTATCATAAAAGCAAACACTTTTCGCTCCCTTCCGGATATCACAATCGAAACTTTAAGAACAAAAATTTGAACAACACGCCCAATGCTAAAGTCTCACGCCCAAAACAACGTCCCAGTCAAGGTGTATTAGGGTACTAATTGCTTAACCGTGGAGACCGCAAGTGCGCTGGCGCATGAGTTCTCTTCTCGCGAGATCCTTGACTGTAGTTTGTGTCAGCAATGATACTTTGGTAAGTTACTGGAAAATAGAAGGTTACATACCACCGTCGTATGTGATGAACTCGTGAAGAGCTGACCCACCGGGAACCATGGGGAGAACGGGAACCTTCTTGTCAGTGACAACCTCCAGAAGGGCTGGGCCATCAGTGTCAATCAGCCACTGGAGAGCTTCCCGGGTCTCATCAGGCTTGATGAGACGCCTGTGCTGGATGCCCATGGCGTCGGCGAGCTTCATGAAGTCGGGGTTCTTCTGGTGAGTGTGGGAATAGCGATCCTCGTAGAAGAGGTTCTGCCATTGTGTAACCATGCCCTGCTCTTCGTTGTTCAGAACGATGATCTTGACGCCAATGTTGAACTGAGCAGCGGTGGAGAGCTCGGTAAGGGTCATGCCAAAGGAAGCATCACCGTCGATGTCGATGACAAGGGAATCTGGCTTAGCCACCTTGGCACCGATGGCGGCCGGCAGACCGTAGCCCATGGTACCGAGACCACCAGAGGTGATCATGGTGCGGGGATGTCTCCAGCGGAAGTGCTGAGCAGCCCACATCTGATGCTGGCCGACACCAGTGGTGATGTAGGTGTTCTCCTTGCGGTCAGCTGTGAGGTTGCTGAGCTCCTCAATCAGTGTCTGAGGCTTGATCAAGCCCTCGCGGGCAGCACGCTCGTAGTCAGAAAGAGGCCACTTCTTCTTCCACTCGTTAATCTGAGCGAACCACTCCTTTCTGTCAGCCATGGTCTTGCTCTCCACCTGGGGCAGGAGCAAGTCGAGGTTCTTGCCAAGATCACCCTCGATAGCCTCAGTGGCCTGCACGACCTTGTTGATGTTCTTGGGGAGGATCTCGAAGTGAATGATACCTCCGCGGTTCTCCTTCGCCGCAGCCTTAGCCGCTGGGGCAAACTTGGCAACACTACCGGTAACACGGTCATCGAAGCGGCCACCGAGAGCAATGATGAGATCAGCCTCCTGCATGGACATGTTGGCATAGGCTGAGCCGTGCATGCCGAGCATGTGGAGGGACTTCTCATCAAGCTCGTCGAAGGCACCGAGACCGTGAAGGGTCGTCGTCACGGGGATGGACGCCTTGTTCGCAAGCTCTCTGAGCAGCTCAACACCACGCTCCGAGCTAATGACACCTTGGCCAGCGTAGATGACAGGCTTCTTGGCGATGTTGACCAAGTGAGCCACACGCTTGATAGAAGCACGGAGCTGCTTCTCGCTGGCCTCGAGAGCGGCGCGGGAGGCAGCGCTGGGGAGCGACGGAATGGCGGGGGCCGTGGGAATAGCACGACGCAGAATACCAGCCGTCACGTCCTTGGGAAGATCCACGAGAACGGGACCAGGCCTTCCGCTGGTGGCAATCTCGAAGGCCTCGTTGATTCTTTGAGGCAGCTCAGCGACATTCTTCACCATGACGTTCCACTTGGTGCAGGCGCGGGAGATGCCCACAACGTCGGCTTCTTGGAACGCATCGCTACCAATGGCTGTGGTAACGACCTGGCCGGTGAAAACGATCATGGGAGTACCGTCCGCAAGCGCATCAGCCATTGGTGTCACAACGTTGGTGGCACCAGGACCGGAAGTCACCAAGACGACACCGGGCTTGCCAGAAGCGCGGGCGTAACCCTGGGCCATGTGGCCAGCGCCCTGCTCGTGTCTGGGAAGGACAAAATCGAAATGTGGCGAGTTGTAGATGGCATCGAACACGGGAAGAATAGCACCGCCAGGGTAGCCGACTGTGTATAGTTAGCCAACTGTGCAAGTTTATGGGAGTAGGAGTAGAGACATACAAATGTGCTTGACGCCGTGTCTGAGCATCATCTCATGGAAGATCTCACCACCAGTCTTGCCGATAAACCTGTAGCGCATTTCGTGTTAACTATGCATACATATATATATATACATAGACGATCCTCATTTGTATAGTTGGGAGACATACGACTCGTCGACATCGTTCTTACGGGCGTTAGCCAGAGGTTGAACGTGATTGGGCTCGGCGTTGAATGATTGGGCGGGCTTTGCTCGTACGTCGCTGTATATAGGATGGAATTAGCCATTGTGTTTTTGTAGTGATGGTAGTGGTGAGTCACTACTAGTAGTAGTATGACTCCAAAGCCGACGATGGCGGTGGGACGACTTACGCAGCGGGCACCTTCGCGGCAGCCGATGTGGACTGATTCCTAACGTCTGATGGCCCATTACGGACACCTGTGATGGCAGAAGCCTTTTGTGTGAGGGAAGCAATTCGCTGTTGGCTAGGCCGAGTAGTGGCCAGCGCCTTGAGGGCGCGGCTGGTTTGACGGATCATCACGAGAAGGTGACTGCGAAGAGACCGGAAGGAGAGCAGACGGCGGAGAGCGGGAGGTGGCGAGCTGTAAACTAGGAGAGCACACCTAGGTGAGAGGGACCTGAAGGTTATAGGAGTGGAAATAGGAAAGTTTTAGCTGTAACAGCGAGAACTGGCTATTAAACAGCAATGTAGAAAGATTCCAAAGTTCCTCTTGACGAGCCGAGGAGTCAATGGGTCTTGTTGGAGGCGGACGTGGTGGTTTTGAAAGAAAGAAACCCTGTCCTTGGCGGGAACGAGCAATCGGAGTGGTATGAGTCGTTGAATCTCAAATTTTTGGCCGTCGATTGTGGGGTAGAAAAGTGAATACACGGGTGGCACGGGCCTTATAGTGGCCCCTAGTGGCGATGTCGGAACTGCCCTGGAGCGCCCGATTTGCTGCCACGGCAAGCACACATGGCCACCGGCAGGCGGGACGGCGCCTGGACCCTTTCACCTGCTTTTTAGAATAAGTTTCTAACCCGCCTAGAGGGTAGCCGTTGTTTCTTCTTTTGCCCTCGGCACCTTCCTGGAACATCATATCACGTTTCGAAACTTTCTTCTATGACAGTTCAGGCATCACACGACCAATTCATCCATCGTCTGGGAACACTGGACCATGACACCGTGGATCTTGGTGGCCGAGGAATTCAAGTTTTTGCGGGGAAGAAAGCTGCGTGCCGGTCTGCAGGTCCGTCCAATCACACGCTGTCAATTAAGTGTTCTCCCGTAAGTAACACACCCAGCGCGACATTGTAGCACATAACGGCAAGCCGATGAGCCGATCCTTCTCTCGATATCCTCGGGATACGATATTGTTAAATTGTGCGATCACGGCCATATTCTTTGAGATCTCTGCAAGAAGCGGGCGAAGAGGGCGACCGGCCCAACGGACATTCTAATACTAGGTACCTGACATCCGGCTCACGGATGACGCCAAGGCGGGGCGGGGTCCATTCCAGGTGTCAAAAGTCACAGCCGTCACAGCCCTGCGCCGGTGGTCGGCCCCACCAAAATATTTCCAGCCGGGTATTCCAGCTTCACGCCGACAGTCGCAGCGGCCGGCCGCCTCTGACTTCACTGATCGAGCTTCGAATTAGGTTCGGCGCTACCCTGTGGCTTGTCAACACCTCCAACTTCGGGCAAGAGCAGCATCCCGCCTTGTTTTCTAGCACTCAGCCCGCGGACACTATGCGATGATCAACTGACGACTGCAGATGCCATCCGACTGCTCACTGCAACGCTACGGGACAGAACTGCAGCAGCAGAATGAACGGAGACAGTTTCCCGAGCTGGCCCTTCCACGTGCACCAAACCACAGCTGCCATCGGATTTGGAGTGAGAATGCTGTCTCTAGCATCAATTTGGATGCTACGCTGAGTGGATATCATCTTGGCAAGAAATCACGCTAACCTCCAGTCTGCTAACAGTTCCCAGACACGATCTTCTCGCTGTGTAAGTCACATTTCCTATTTCGCTCTCAGGCTCTCAGTTATTCCCGCCTGCCGATATTTTACACATTACAAACAGACAAACAAACCAAAAATTGAGTCAACGTACAAGGAGATAAACAAGAGAAAATTACAAGTCACTAATCATCACTCATACTACGTGGCTTTAGCCACCCAAGACTCCGCCCAAAAGACCACCCTTCTTCTTCTTACCCGACTTGAGACTGTCACTGAAGGATCCAAGACCCAATCCGGCAAGGACGCGGTTCAAGCCGAGTGTACCTAGCAACCCGTCAACCAGTCCTCCCAATCCAAGGCCGCTCAGCTATAGTACTAGTGTTAGCACGTTGTTCCTTGCGTTGCAAGTGGACCCTGAAAGGACTTACCAATCTGCCAACGAGGTTGAGCACACCACTCAATAACAACCCAACGGCGGCAAGGATCTGGAACAGAGGCTCGTTGAGCAAACCCCACAGAGGGTTGAGCTCCTTCTTTGCGTGGGGCATATCCTCAAGCTTGCGCTTGGCATTGTCGATGCACTGAGTGACATCGCCAGTGAGATCCTTGAGGAGCTCAGCAAGACGGTACTCCTCCGGAGTGGCCTCGCGAGCAGCAGTCTTGTGCTTGGCGTTGGCCGAGATGCGGCCATCAGGGTCGAGGCCCTTGATGATGCCTTGAGCCTCGGTCAAGATGCGGCCACCCTCTTCGATTAGAGGGCGGACCTCCTTGACAAGCTGCTCTTCGTCGCGCTCGTCTTCTGGAGTGCGCTCTGCCTTGTCGATTTTCTACTGTGTGTTAGTGATGAACAAGCTGTGGCGTGAGTTGGTAGTGATAACTTACCTCGGTGATCATCTTGCAGATAGGTCGAATCTTGTCAAGGCACTGGGCAATGCAGACAGACATCTGGATGGCCATCTTCTTGTCATTCTCGGCTTGCTCGCGCTTCTCCTTCTGTTCAGGTGTCTCCTCGTCCTTGACCTCAGGAATGCCCTCAAGAAGCGAGCAGTGGCCAATGACAGTGCCCTTCTGGTCGACAACATCACCGTCGTCGTCAATCTCCTTGCCCGAGCAGACCTGAGGATCGCCAGAAGTCAACTTGCCAATGAGGTTACCATCACCATCAACAACATTGCCCTCCTTGTTGACCTTGCGGCCCGACATGGGGTTCTTGGACTTCTGAACCTCCTCGGGCTCCCAGCGCTCAGCCTTGCCAATGACATTGCCATTCTTATCCAACACATCACCATCCTCATCAACCGCCCTGCCAAACAAGACCTTGCCCTCTCCCTTCACCAATCTCCCCACGATATCCCCCGAAGGCGTAACAACAGTCCCATCCTTAGCAACCGTGCACCCCTCCAACTCGGCAAACGGCCCCTCCTTGGATCCCTCCCTCTCCCCCTCACTAACCAACTCCGCCTTCCCCAAAACATCACCACTCTCACTCAGAATATTCCCCTTCCTATCACACATCCTCCCCACCATCCTCTTCGGATCCCCCTCCACCACCCTCCCGTAAATAACCCCGTTCCCATCAACCACATACCCCGCCTTGTTGACCCTCTTCCCAGCCAACAAGCTATTATCCACCTCCTTAACCTCCTCCTCCACCTCCTCCTCCGGCTCCCAACGTTCCGCCTTCCCAATCACATTCCCCGCCTTGTCAAGCACATCCCCATCAGCATCAACAGACTTCCCCCTCAACTGCTTGACATCCCCTTCGATAATCTTGCCCACCCACTCCCCATTGCTGACAACCATCCCATTCCCGTCAACAACCGCGTCAGGGAAGGACTCGAACGGCGCAGACTCCTTGAGCATGTCATCACGTTCCGAGTCAGAGATGGGCTCAGCCTTGCCGATGATCTTGCCGTTGTCGGACCAGATATCCCCGTTTTCGTCGACCTTCTTGCCGATGAGGTACTGTAGGATGCCGCTCACGACACGACCGACAACCTTGCCGTCGGAAACGACGTTGCCGCCTTTGTTGACGGTGCCGTTCTTGAGAATGGAAAAGTCCATTTGTTCGGCTACGGTGGAGCCCTCGCCTGCTTCGACGCCTTGGGGTTGGTCCTCTTGGATTGTACCTTCGGGTTGACCTTCGGCTTGGGATGGGGAGAAGTCCTGGACCTGTGACTGGCCGTCTTGGATTTGGTGGGGGTCGAATTGCTCTTGTGCTTGCTCACCAGCTTCAGTTTGGGGTTGCTGCTGCTCCGTGCCGGTGGTGGAGGGGGTTTTCTCTGTTTGCTGCTCAACATCGGGCTTCTCGGACCCTGACTTGGCGACAGACTCGGCCTTGTCGCTGACGGTCTTGGTGTCAATGTCTGGCTTCTCAGAAGCAGCAGGCTCAGGCTCGTCGATGTTGTTATCCGCAGCCTCAACGTCTGGCTTCTCCGAGGCAGCCTTGTCGACTGTCTCCGAGGCAGGAGGCTTCTCCGATGTGGTGGTAGCATCCTCCTTTGCACTCTTGAGGAACTCCTCCCTCGCCTCATCAGTAGGCTGGTTCTCGCTCGCCTGGTCAAAAGCCTTCTTAGCCTGCTCCGTCAACCCCGACGGCGCCTCAGAGATCTTATCCGCGGCGGGGGTCTGGGTCTCTTCCTCAGCCTTGTCAGACTCTGGCTTCTCAGACGACTCGACCTTCTCCTCCGTCGTAGTCTTAGTATCCTCCCCAGCCTCAGTCTCCGTCTTGTCACTCATAGCCTTGGGCTCAACCTTCTCCGGCTTCTCCTCCTCCTTATCCTCCATCTGAATCCCCTCCTCTGTTTCCTTGGGCTTCTCCAGATGAGTATACCCTCCACTCTCCCTCTCCACCTCACTGCCATCATTCCCCTCGAAATCCCCCGACGTGGTCACAACCTCGTCGTTCTCCTCCTCCTCCTCCCGATTCTTGTTCTGCTCCTTCTGGAGATCAATAGCCGGAGGGGAGGGGGCAGAGCGAGGGACGTTTTCCTCTTGGGGGGTGGAGACCTCCTGCTGCTGCTGCTGCTTCTTTCCCTTGCGGGAGGGGAGCGTCTTCTTCGCAATGTCGGACATATTGTCTTGTGGTGCGGTTGTAAAGGTGCCTTCCGTGGTGGGGGTTGTGGTAGGGGAAGCGGGACGTAAGGGAAGGGATAGGTTGAAGAAGAGTTCCAGGATGGCACAAGATAGGGACGGAGGTGAGATGATGGTGTGACTGTATAGGTAGGGTCTGTGGTGGAAAAAAAAAAGCAAGCAAGGTGAGTTACGGTGTGCTAAAGCTGTACAGTGACAACAAAATGATGTAGATGTGTGGCTGTGCTCAAAGGTTCAAGAGATTACCGTAGATAGCTATATAGATTTTTCGTTGGTCCAGAAGGAAAAAAGAATCAGACAAGAACACAGCACTAGCCTCAACCTTTTTATGTCGTCAGCATCTTGCTACCTCAACCACTATTTTCACCCGTCGTCGTCAGACGATAACTTCGAGACAAGCCGGCTTTTTCGAGAAGCTCAGAATATCTCCCCGGACGTCATCATCGTCTCTTCTTTACGTCACGAAACCTAGGGGACTTCTCCTGCATTCACAAACTCCCACTCGCGCGCAAGAAGCAAACTGACAACCCCCCTTTTCCTTGTCCCCCAACACCCCCCAACACCTGCCGTCCCACCCACCTACCTATGCCCCCCGGGATGACTTCATCCCCCTCACCTCCCCGCCCTCCCAGAGGCCAACACCTCCAAAAGCTGCGCGTCATACCAGCCACACATCCCAAAATCCTGCCTGTGGCACTAAGTCTGCGTAACAAATCGACAGATCGGTGGCTTGCTTCAAACCTGTCGGAGGTAAAGTGTGGCGAGTGCCCTCCATCATTGGGCGGGGAAATCTTGATCAGGAAGGTGGGCTTGTCATTGGGATTGGACAATGAACAAGCGAAACCGTTGAACTGGTGGGAAAAAAACTCAAGATTGGACAGCAATGTGTCAAGAAAGTTGGATGTTGTGTGTCACAGACACTCACAGTGTGCGTGTAAGAGGTGTGGCTGGATCAAAGAGTGGCTTGCCGTGTTTACGAAGCGGCAAGTAGCGTCAACTGTGGCGAGGGAGATACGCGGGCTGAGGTAAAGGAGTGGCCGTAGTGGCTGGTGTGTATTTTTCTCTGCCCACCCCCCTTGCTACATGGATATGGATCCTAGTGCAGTTGGGTGGTGAGTGGTGAATAACATGTGGGACTGACTGGCCAGGGCCAGCTACTCAGTTTCCTTCTAGGGCTGGCCTCCCGAAAAGCTGGGGGTGTGTGGGATGAAGCGAAAAACGTTGGATGTTCCGTTTGGCATCCCGGAACCGGACTGGAAACTTGCCGGGGTTCGAGATCTTCGCGTCCCCTCTTCTCACTCAGAAACCGAATTTTAGGGCCTCAGCTTCCTTCTCACCCCTCTCCCACGTGCATAACGGCTCACTAGCTGCTTGTCATGGAACTTTCTGAAAGAAAATTACTTGATACCTTCGCTATTGTGTGACGAGCTCGCTTTCTTTCCGGACCCTTCCCGCGGGTCTTGCAATCGCATAACCAAACATAAGTTTGGCACCATAACCCCGGAATTCGATTCCCATCATTCCTTTCATTACATCATCCCAAGTGCATATACCAACGCCTCTGACGGCAAGACTGATCCCGATCCATCAAGAAAACGAGATGTTAGGCTTGATCTGCTGACTACCAAACACGGTAGGAATCCGAATGGTAAGTTGAATCCCTTCCTTTGTTGACTTCACGTCCAGGAAGATATCGGAGGGGCTGTCACTGGGGTTCTCCTTTCTCCAAGATTCCGCGTTCTGTCTTCTCTCTTCCTCCGTTCGTCTGGGTTGTCTCGGCTGGTCCGGCTCCTGCTCCTGCTCTTTTGCCTGAGACTGCTTCTGCTGCTCTCTCTTGGGAGATTTTGGCGGCGGTGACGGATGCTCTTCTTGCTCGTCTGCCACGCCATCCTCCTGACCTCCCTCTTTGTCTTCCTTCCCAGACTTTTTCCCCTGCTTCTTTTTCCTCACTGATGACGGCCCAGCCTCTGCTTGCTGCTGAATGCGCTCTCGAAGTTCCTGTTGCTCTTTCTCCTTGCGGTGAAGCGGGTTGTTGTTGTCAAGGAACTTCCCCACGACATTCCCAGACGCATCCAGAATATTGCCCAGGTGGTCAACCATCAAGGAAGCATTGGCCTTTCGCATCATGTCCAGTAAGCTGCGAGGTTGGGACTCGGTCCGTGGTGAATGTGGGCTCGTGCTGGGTTTCCTTTCGATCTCAATGTCGGCGACATAACCCAAAAGTTCCCCGTTGTCTCCCAGTATGTCGCCGTCCCTGTTGGAGACTTTGCGCCCAATAATCTCGGGGAGGTCACCGCCGGCACGGGCGAGCACCTGCCCCGTCTGATCGTCTACAATGTCCCCATACTCATCAACTGTCTTGCCCATCAAAATAGACCCCACATAAGGCGGCAATTTTGGTCGCTCAGGTGATAAGGAGATTCCAGGGGAAACCTCGGGAATGCTGCCAATCTTGGGAATAGGGGCAACATATGCTGGGCTCCTACTTTTCGTTCTGTCTGGGGGATCCCTTTTTTCCTGTGTCTCTGGCTCCGGCTGGTCGGTAATGTCCTCAACTTCGATGTCGCTCTCGTCTTCATGCCCAACCTCCACAATGTCATCCTGTGACTGCCGGCGAGACCTTGGCAGTTGAGATGCCTGAGTGAATTGTTTGGATGTCATGATTCTTGTAGTGGTGATCAACCTAGGTGGAATCTGCAGTGTTGGGAGTTGCTAGTATCCGATCGGACTCCAGTCCCCGCAGAGAAATGCAAAGGGTCTTGGGGCTGAAAGCCTGAAACACCAGTTTAGGCCGGTTCCAGAGCATTCGACTGGTCGACGTGCGTGAAGGCTGTTGGGTGTGTGTTGAGGGCGTGAAGTAGGAAAGGAGGGGGTGAGTGACGTCATCGGACCAGGGTTAAATCTTGTGAGCTTCGAGGCTGCAAGGTCTCGACTCAACCCTGGCAGAGTCGAGACCAACATGGAGCTGGGTTGGGTAACACGAGTGAGAAGACGGTGTTAGCCGATTGCACCTCTGCGCTTGCTAAGCTTATTAGGATAGCCTATGCAAATCGTCAGGTTGGCAGTCAAATTGCGAGTCTTTGCCCAAGACAAAGCAGAACATTGAGCTGGGCTTTTGATGTCCAGTGAGGTGGTTTTTTGTGCTGGGATGTGGCTGCATATCGGGGGCTTGGCATTGTCCCGAGGATCAGTTAGCGAACCGTTGAGATCAGTGCTGATGAAAGCGTTGAACTGCCTGGTTAGCTTCGGACCAGAATATCTCAAGCCCTGTCACTGGACGGATCAGAATTCTAGTGTTCTTCGAAATCGAGCGAGACTTGAGACATTCGAGCAGAACAATAGACGGGCCGAGCTGAAACATCATCAACGGACTGGAGAACTGCAGCCGCCATACGATTCGTCGGCCGGTGCTTGTTGAAAACCGGTTTCTGCACCACTGCCTGCTCTGAAGCAAGCGAGGCAAGGCATGGAAGCGAGGTCAACAAGGTGCTGGCTCCTTTGGCATGCAGCTTTATGCGTCGTTAGCGGTTGATAAATCGTGGTTTTCCTGGAGATCATGAACGGATAACCAGCATATATCGGTCTTAGCCATGTCGAACCCCGTATGATGCTACAATGGCATCACGGCCAAGGCCGAGTCGGGCCGCCTGGGAGGTGACTCGAGATCTCGGAAGGCCAGCAAGTCTGACGGCTGCGCCGTGGTAGAGTTGCAGTCGTTCCTGGTGCCGGCATAACAACGATGTTATTGCTGAGGATGACCTGTGCCGCATGGAGTTGTAACAACAGGCCATTACACGGAGGACATTATATGTCTGAGTCGAACCTCAGTCCGTCCATATATCGTAGAAGCGGTATGATAGGTAACTCGGGGAAAATGCAGAAGTGGCCGTCGTGCGTCATGACCTTGAGCGATCCCGAAACGCGCCACCGAGGTACAGCAGCTGCATGCTAAGGTAGGTGGTCGAAGATCCGACGGCAGGCCGTTGTCAGGCAATTGTTCTTCATTGGAATTCCGATTCCTCATTGTCCGGACGTTGTAAAATGGCCTCACCAGATATCATGATTGTCATCAACAAAAGAAAATCTCGAGGTTGTTTTACAGCAGAGGTGCAATTTGTGACGCAGCGGTTGATGCACTGTAAATTGTTTTCTCCCAGGTTCCTGGCATGCCGCTGCATGACAGCTGCGAGCGCCCGCTGGAAAAGCACGGGTCAACTGTGGCACAGTGGAACCTGCCCGCTGAAATCGATCCGGGCCCCTGTGTAACGTGCCATTAAGCACTGGCCATGCTATCGGCGCCATACTAGGCAAAAGCTTCGCCAAACTTCACACAGAGACAAAATACAGCAAAATAGAACAACAACCACAGTGTCCCGAACCATATCTAATACAATTATTAGGATAAAGATAGTATACAAAAGACCAAAGACCAGAAAAAACCCATCATTAACAAAACAACTACTCCATTCGCCGCCCGACATCAGATACCCTCACCCAGCCCTGAAATGCACACGAGATGAGAAAAAGCTCACGAGAGCTTGGAACCGGAAAGTTTAGTTGCTTCAGTTCCTAAGGAATTAGCCCCATGTCTCTGTCTTGCAGTTGACGTGTAACAGTGTGCTATCAAGCGGAGGCGCATCATCCACCATCATGGTCATCTCATCGAGCATCTGTCTAGGCAAACAGCCTGCTGATCGTCCTCCACATGGGAGGGCGTGTCTTGCTTATGTCTCTCTACATGGACCTTTAGCCTTAGGTAAGAAACATGACGGAAAGAGAGATGAAGTAAACAAGAAGGCGATACATCCGACCCTCGAAGCTAACCAAATCGCAGTCGCCGTGGTTGTCGCATGCGCCGTTCACTTGATCAGGGGGAGGGAAGGAGAGGGGAAGGGGAAGGGGTAAGAATAGGGATGGGTAAAATGAAGATAAAAGAAAAGGGTAACTTACAAGAGAGCAAGCTCAAGATCGCCATGGATCTTTGCCTTGAGAGTAATCTCAATGTCGAGGTTGAGGTCAAGACGAAGCCTCAAAGTGTCGCTCTTGCCGCCGCCACCACCGCCTTGTTGGTTGACGGCGCCGCCAGCTACACCACCTAGCACACCGGTTGCGCCGTTGACAAGGCCGCCTGCTGTTTGTCCGACGCTGTCGAGGGCAAGGCTGTCAAGGGGACCACCGCCGCCCTGCTGTTGTTGGCGCTTTCCGCGTCTCCGTGGGGGAGGAGCATAGTCCTCAGACTCCTCACCCTCAGACTCGTAGACCTGGGGCTTTGGCTGGCGCTTGGGCTTCTTGGTCTCTGAGCCGCTTCGGGAAGACATTGTGGGTGTTTGTTGTGGTGGGAGTAGCCGTGAGGTGTTGTGGGAAGAGATGGGTTCAGGGTCTTGCTGATCAGGTTGCTTTCTAGAGAAGTTGAATGATGAGATGCATCTTAAGGGTCCTAGGGACTCCGAGATGGGCACTTATAAACGGCAGACATCTCCAGAACCCTTTGTGTCCAAAACAGGATTCTATCGGACGGATGAGCAATGAAGTCATCGGCCTCGACAGGAGGAGCCCTCATTCTGACGAGTCCAGCAGAAAATCTCCGACACCAGGCCCTACACCAGGCCCTACATCACAGCCGCTACAGCACACCACGGCTAGCCGACGGCCTTACACCATAAGGGTACAGTAGTCACTCAGCACAAAGTATGACTGTCTCTGTCCAATGATCACGGGGGGTAGCACCATGCTCGTGTTCTAGGCAAGCGAGGATGGATCAACACAAAATGGGGGTGTGTTAATCTAGCCCCTGTTTAGCTGCATAAAGAGAAAAGCTCACTAAAATTACAGCGCCGAGAACGCCAACCGCCCCCCCCCCCCCCTGATGCACTGTGCAGCACTCAACACCCGAGGCCAATGACACCCCAAGGGACACCCCCCCAGGGCACATCATCCCGGCCCACATGAAACATGCATTCACACCTCACCCACAAACACCATCATCCAACAAGACAAGTCCAGCTTCACATGATCCTCCCCCCGCGATCGCTCATGTCAACGTCACTCTCACGCACACACCCCCTCCCCATCCTCCACGTTTCGCCTACCCATTCGCGCCCTTGACATAGCGGCTCTCCATTCCCAACTGCAGCTGCCGGCGAAGCAACACAGGGACCCACTGGCGCGAACGGTGTCTGTTCAACACGCCCCCTTCCGGCCATAGCTCCTCTTTGTCCCCCTCCGTTTCGCTCTCATCCTCACTCTCACCCTCGTCCTCGCTTTCACTCACATCCTCCTCCGAAAAACACCCATCGCGATCAAAAGCGATGGCCCATTTCTTGTTTTCCATCTGAACCGCCACAAAGCGGGCCGCGTCACCTTGCAGCGTCAGCCACTTCTCATCACTGGTCCAGAACCATGGCCCGATGGTGTGTCCCAGCGTAGCCTGCCGCCCTCCGTGGCGCACCAAGTTGGTGTCTTTATCGACATAGATCCAGTTCAGCATGGGCGGGTCGTCGGCGATGGTGCTCACCATGCCCAAGTGCTGCTCCTCGGACGGGTATGGGAAGTAGTACCCAAAGAACTTGTGGCCAGGCACAGGAAAGGACGGGTGGTCGATCCACAACTGCCAAAGAGAATGTCAGCCGAACGGAGTTTCTTCCGGCTTGTTGATGTCATCTGGGTTTTCCCAAACAAGACTCACCATGCCGTTCTTCAAAACGCACCAACACTCGACCGGGCCATCCTCGTCGAGAGAAACGGTGACCGTCATACGGAACTTGGCCTTCTCTTTTGCCGCTTCATTGGCCTTCTTCTGTGCGCTCAGGGCTTCGCAGACCCCTATCGTCGTGGGAATCCCCGCTATGACAAGCAAGCCCACGACCATCGTCTCGGTAGTCGATATTCGTCGTATTGGGTGCTTAGGAGGAGGGTAGCAATGGCGCCAGAGTATCCGAGTCTGTGTGATGTCGTCTGGTGTGATTCAGTCTCATTCAAACAACATCTCATACTCGTCAGCTTCATCTTCACGGTGGAAGGTTGAACACAGCTTCGTCATATAGTTCCAAGACCCTACCACCCACCGTCTCTCCGGCCGGCCGTTAGTACGGACGAGGCTGTTCTTGCGTTCACCCCCCTCCTCTCTCCTCTTCTTGGCGGGACAATGCCATCCTATGCAACCGAAGTTGGCTAATCCCGGTAATCTGAAAAGCTTGTTTCCTCCTCAACCTCCCATTACTGCAGCGGCTAAACAGCTCTCATGCAGCATTGACGTCACAGGCCTCGAAACGATGCCCTCCAGCTTGCAAGCCATCATGCCTTTTTTTTGCGCACCCAAAGAAACTTGTTCGGCCCACCCCCCTATGTCGTCACCCGGCACCAGATTCACGAAGCCGTGGTCTGGTGAGAAGCCGAAGAGCCCCAAAATCATGATTTTTGGTCGTTTCCCGAAGCTATGATGCATAAGGGGTCTCACTGGACCCTTGGTCGATCCTTGGAACGGCCTTGGTTCAAAGAATCTCTTTAAACCTCATCACCACTAGGCACCACAAGTGATACCTACTCTTCCCGTCCAAACTTTGCAGCTAGCTTTTTGTTTTGTCCCAGCGTGATCCCAGCATCTATCTCCACCAGAAGCAACACATTGACCTAAAAGAAAACCAGCCTGTCGCCATGTCGTCGGTAAGTTCTTTCTCTGTTCACTCACCATGCCATCTCAGAGAATGAAGAATCGTAACAAGAAAAAGCAGACTCCAAAGCCCAACGAGGAGTTCCCCAAGAAAGAGGATGAGACCAAGACCGGGCAGCCCGAGGCTAGCAACCTGCCTCAGACCTCCACAGTTGGTGACAACAAGCCCGAGGACAACAAGCCCACGGAAGCTGGCCGTGCTGAGACCGACAAGCAACCTGGAGACAAGCCCCTCGACAATGAAGACTACGACGAGGAGAACCCAGATGAGGAGAACGCGGGAGTTCTAGGTGACGACTACCAAGAAGACGAGGACCAGGAAGGCGAAGAGCCATACGACGAGGAGGGAGAAGAGGAAGAGGAGCAGGCTTACGACGACGAAGAGCAAGATGATGAGGACGCTGCCTCTGAAGAAGACGAGGAAGAAGAAGAGGAGGAAGTCATCCCTCCACCCCAACCACAGCGACAAAAGAGCAACACCACCAAGAAGGGCAAGCCCGCCTCCGTCGTCGACGACCGCAGCAGCACACCCTCTTCCTCCCAGCCTCCCACCCCCAAGGACGATGAGAAGCCCCAGCCTAAGTGGATGCGCGACCAAAAGAAGAAGAAGCAACGGCAGACCGAGTCTGATGTCGACAACAGACAGGTCGACCGCCCTCGCCGCAGGGGGAAGAACGAGCCATCTTACCGTGAGCAGCAACAGGCGCTGTACCGTCAGCAGCAGCAGCAGCAAATGATGATGCAGCAGCAGCAGCAGCAGCAGGGCGGTGGTGATGGTGGCGGCAAGAACCCATTGAGGCTCAGACTAGACCTCAATCTGGAGATTGAGATTGAGCTCAAGGCGCATATCCATGGTGATTTGACGCTTGCTTTGCTGTATGTTTACCTTTCTTTTCATCTTTTCTACCCTTCTTCTTTTGTGGCTTCCCCTGATTCATGGTCCTGGCTTTGTGTCATCATCGCGCATTGGCTTAGTGGCTTCCACGTGAGCGATACCATGCCGACCAACTCTTTTAACACTTTCTCTCTTCTACTATCACGGATGAACAAGGCAATGAAGGCTCATACACACCGATTTTCTCGGGGATTTTGTCACAGCAATTAGGGCTATTCAGTTTCACGTCATCAAGAGAAAAGAGAGCAAGATCGGCTAACCACGACGGCGCGTTGTTATCACTACAGGGACGGATAAATTGCACTTTTCTTCTTTCCATGATCAGGCGTTGGGAGGTGCAATACCTATGTTGTCAAGGGCTGATGTAATATGCAGATGATGGGGGTAGAAAAGGAGATGTCTTGAGTTTTGTCTACCGAGGTCCAGACCTAGCGTTTCCTTTGTCTTATCTTGTGTGGCTTTAAACTGTATTGTAATTTTGTGTTAGTATGTACTCTATTTATGTTGTAATATGTCTTGCGCTCTATCTGTCCACAGCTCTGTGGTTGTTATTTTTGTCCTACAAGGGGGGTGGGTTGGTGAAGAGTAGGTAGCCATAGAGCTGCTGAAGGTAGAGTGGTCGTCGGCAACCCGCATCAAGCTATGGCCACCGCTACCGAGCGTTTGGGTGTCTTTGTTCCTCGATCAGCGGGAGGTTAGACAAACAAAGATGGTTTAATATCCAGTAGATTGCCGAACCCCAGTTGTTCCGGGTTGTCGGGTCCAGTGCCAAGTCGCGAACATTGACAAGGGAAGGAAGTCGATGATGACTTTGTGTAACGCTGCCATCAAACGTGCAACTATATCGAACTGCGTATATTGTAGACGTAAACCATGAGAATACCCATTGTCAGCAGGCAAAATCTCCACTCGTGTCTGCTTGGTGCATATGAGGTGTCATGGTTGCCGGCTGCCTTCTTTGCAGCGCGCGCTGCTGCAGTGGAATGGAGATGAAGGCCTTTCGGCGCTCCGCAGCCTTGGGATGGTGATAGCTTCACTCCGCTTCCAAGGCCGGCTCTCTTTTGCTCGAATTCGTCTGATCAGTAGGTCGAGTTGCTGTTTCCCGTTTGACACTAAAACTGCCGTATCTAACACCTGGCGCAGTCTCAGTGCACACTGGCCAGCACGTTCCGTCATCTTCATCGGATTGCATTCTCTTCTCATACCTGAAGGACACGGTGGTGTCCCATTTCTGCGCGTGACATTTGCCAACGTGGCCAAGAGGCCACCCCTTTTGGTTGAGCTTCGCCGTGCCAGTTTTTCCCTGCTGCAACAGAGCTGCCACGGGTATCTCGATTCTCGAGCCACTTCGCGCTTCTTCCGCTCCGACCTTCTCACTGCACGCTCACGAAGAGCTCTACCACTCGCTGCCAATTTGACGTTCCCGATTCCCTCATACTCTTGCAACAATGCCCACCTCTCCGCAGGCCGATAGCACCGAGCCCGAGACCACTGCGATCACCGACCCGACCGAGCCACCAAGCTGCATTGCCTGCGAAAGCACCACGAGGAGAGTATGGACTTGCATCCAGTGCGGTTTCAACTTCTGCGATGATTGCTGGGGAAAAGAACGTCCTCACAAGCCCCGCGTCATGGGCACCGGCGGCCGTCCCCACGAAAAGGTCAATCTTGGGTGTGGCCAAGCGCCTCGAATATATCTTCCGCAACAAGGAGGTTGAGGACCTAGACGGAGAGTTTGCCATAGATGCGAAGAACAAGTGGTTCGGCATAGATCAGGGTAGCGATGGGTTGACGTTCAACTACACAGATCGCTTGACCGACCTCAGCATACTGGAGAGTAACGACCACAATGCCGCTGATCGCTTCCCACATCTGGTTTTATTTGTTGGCAAGATCGGTACGTCCTCATTATCAAAGACAGTATGGATCGAGATACCTACTGATACTTGATCCTAAATACCCATCTAGGCGCGGTTAAAACTGCTTGTGAAGGGTGTGGGCTAGACAGACAGTTTGATGGTATATTTGCGTGGGAGAGCCTTTGGTTGCCAGTACCTTGATGTAAATGTGCTAGATTTCCTGGATAGCAGGAGGCCAGATACATAATTTAAAGTTTCTTACCTGAGTCTTATGTTAAATCCAGGTACATGAACACCCTAGGATCACTTGCACTTATTTTATCCCAGCTAGACAACGACTTTATCCGAGCTAACTATCGATCCTGTCCCCAGCTAGCCAGCGACTTTATCCCAGCTAGCCAGCGACTTTATCCCAGCTAGCCAGCGACTTTATCCTAGCTAACCACTAAATTAGATAACAATGCCGTAAGTTATGATCAAGCGATTTACATGTTGGGATGGAATTATCTAAACGTTGGGATAAATGGTGTCTTGAGCCGGGACGAAGGCCAGGGGACGAGAAATTGACATAACGGGCACTGAGCAGATATGAAACATAGGTATGTAGGTACCAGGTATGAGTTGCAAGCCACTGACTACCTAATTCCTATCTTCATTATCCATGCATTTGATTCCCAGTAAGTGTGATTGATACCAATGTCAAAACCACCGGATAGATCTCATCATTTAATGGTTCAACAATTTGAACTTTTCCCTCTCAGATGAACTCCGCCTGGCTTGATCACTGTTTCGAGTCCGGCAACATTGCTCCTACAGTTTTCCACACTATATTTGCTACCTTAGCTCAGCCTGTTCATGAATGGCTGTCGGTGCTTCCTGCTGTCTCTTGACCCCATTCCAAAGATTCATTTCATGGAGCGTTTTACCAAGGTCACGTTATGCCTTGCAACATGACTGATGCTCAATATCTCCCTGGTGGAGGAGATGAACAAGGTCAGCGCCGATAGTGAATCTTGAGGTTTTGGGGTACTTGGTCCTGTCCGCTTTGGGTTGCTGAGGGGTTTGGTGTATGGAAAGATGCTGGTTGGACTGGCTGAGGAGCATGGTGATGGGTGGGGTGGCTTGGCAGAGGTTGGTCTCGGATCCATTCTTTTGTGGGTTCAGGTAGGTAGCTACCAGGTAGCTAGTCAACGTCCACATGAAGTTGTAGGTGGCCTCGACAGCTCAGCGGCCCATCGAAACTCACACACCCATCTCAAAAATGCTTAACGTACTTCTCCAACGGTTCTATCACAGAGATCAACACCTCTTGAACGAACTCGGCTTTCCCCAGGTCTGGTGTGTCGACAAAGTTGACACCGACACACCTCGCAATGACATCCGCCAGCTCCGGCCCATGTGTCATTTCCACCTCCTCCTGCCACTCCTGCGCCGCCCGCCAATGTGTCCAATCATTCGCCGACCCATCGGAGTTACAGTGAGCTTTGTAGTAGGGTTGGTCTTCGATGCGTTCCTGAAAGAGGAGCTGGAGGAGAGTCGTTCCAAGTGTGAAAATAGTCATCTGTGCGTGTTCTCTGGCGTTGGACACTTGTCGCTCCAGTGCCGAGCGGATAGAAGTGTGGTTGAAGTAAACCTTGGGGGGTGTATTTCTGACAACCTGGACATCGCGATCATCCCAGGCTTGGGGGATCCAGGCGGATGTTCCCAGTCCGAGAATGGTGTAGGCAAGCTTGATGCCTATGCGAATACGCTCGCTGAGAAGAAGGGAGGCTGGCTTGCGAAAGTCCACTAGTGTTTGTATACTTGACTTTAACGAGGACTCTGTCTCACTTGGATGTTGTCGTTTAGCACTTAGAGTGATTGTGTTGTCCTCATAGTGAATGGTGTCTCCATGTTGCTCCAGCACAGATATGGGATTTTTCAGGAGGTTGCAACCAACTCGGAGCTTCTTTGGGACAGGCGATGCTGCCTCAGGAAGTTTGGGTACTGCATGGCGTTGTGCCGAATCTGGTTTTGCGAGCTTTGCCGTTTTCCTAGGCATCCAGATGGGGTCTATGATGGATTGACGTGGATTTACCGCGGTTTGGAAGCTCGAGAGTGCGAGCACCGTGGAATTCTGCTGTTTCCCTGCCTTGACATGCATCTCGAACCCGGCATCCAGCCGTATGCGAGCGGTTAGGTCTGCCACCTGATCGAACAAGGGCTCAGCATTGCCGCTCCCGTCACAGGTAGAGTCCACTCCAGCAGAGACTTCGACGCCTACTTCCACAGGCATGTTTGGTGGCTCATTTGAACCCAGAAACAGGTTGATAGCCCCCCTTCCTGGCTGTTTTGCGTGGTGATCAAACCAGACCGTAGCTATCCCACACGGATGAAGAGTTTGACACCTGCAAAGCCAACTTTCAGGTCGAAAAGCCCTGTAGAGCTGAGCCGTCTTAGACTGCATGTCAAGATAAGGAGCCGTGGCAGCTAGGCATGCTTTCCACTCCTCCTTGCCCATGATAGCTGGTGCAAGCAATGTGGCTTGCGCTATACGAAGGTCCGCCTCGAGAAATCGGCTGATTTGTGTGTTTATCGTGGTTACTTCTTTCATCAGATCCCGCTTTTTTGTGAAGCTAACAGCCAGTCTCAGAATTGCAAAATCAACAGTCCCCGAACGTGGGATGTGAATCTAGAGGTGAACATTGTGTCAGAATCCATCATGGTCCTCGCTGAACGTGACCATTCCTAACGTAACTTTCCGTCTTGTATGGGCATCAACAGAGTACAAATCTCTTCCAGAATTTGGTTCAGACGGCGAAGCTTTTCCATGAACCACACCAACTTTTCTCTGCCAAGTCGAGCCTTCAGCATCGATCGGAGCTTTGAATCGTGCCATCCTCTCGAATGCGCGTTGTTCAAGAGGTCTGACTCTGTGGCGGCATCCAAGGCCAAAGGTCGTAAGAGAAGTTCCACGTTCTGTCGAAATGCAATGAGTTCATCTTCGACGGCAGAAATAAAGTCGGGGAATTGTGATGAAAACTTCCACCAGAACTTTGTCATCTGAAGATAACCCCGCACTAGCTTCCCACCGTCGATGATGAGTGGAAAAGTGCCGAGGACGACACCGGCCACTTCGAGGCCAGACATGTGGATTAAGGTTGACGGGCTCCGATACCTTGACGAAATTATAAAGGCGAATTTCAAGTTCCCCCCGGATACCTCCCAGACTTTCTTCTGTCAATCTTCGACGACAGCTTTATTGTGGAGGGGTGCGTTCCGGTCATGCACGTCGGTGCAAATACTACCCGCCCCAATCGAAGAGGGGTAAGCGTCAGCACCTTGCGGGGGCTTGCCGATGTCGAAGGTCATCTTCACCAGTGTTTCATATCATCTGTGTCGATTTTCAACTCTGTTAAAGTACCGAAGAAGCCCCTCGAACATGTCACAAATATCAGAGTACGTTGACCCCGAACTTTTGTTTGACTCAGCGAGGCATTGTTGGGCAAATTTCGAACACTTAATTCAAATCCTTCCGCGAGATCACCAGCATACCATCACAGCACACGATGCCCAGGGCCGCTTCAGTGTCTGGAGACAGGATCTGGAGGGGTTACAAGACGAGCTACTTTGGAACTCGACAGATGAACGGAAACAGGATGCTCACAATGCCATTTACAATGCCCTCCTAAATCTTAACAGTGCCCTGAACGACGGTATGGAAACTCCCTCTCCAAGGTGGCCGTTTCAGCTTCTAACTCCTGCCCTTCATCTACCCACATTAGTTGGATCGATATTTTCCGAAGAGCAGCCGGGCAGTCAAGAAGATGATCTCATGTCTCTGCTGGGAGATGAAGAGCAAGCAGACCCAGAGAACGCAGAACTCGTTGCGTTTCTTTCCTCGCCAACAACTCGAATTGATGAACTTTTTTTCAGTATTCGGTCTCATATAGACCGTTTGTTCAAGCTGGCCTCCTTGTTGCGACGCGAAATTCATCATGAAAGCAGCAGTCTAGCTACAATACCTGTTCCGGCACCAGGAGACGATTTCATCTATGATTATCACATGTGCCGCCTCCAAAGAAAATATCCGAAGCTATCTCAACAGCCTCGGCTTTGCAAGACACTTGGACAGGCCCTTTTATTCCGGCGCGCGTTAATTCTTAGGAAGAGCAAAACGAAAGACCGACATACGCCAGAAATAAGCCCTCAACTGGAGCTGAGGAGCCTACCTACGTTGTTATCAGGCAACGAGTCAAAGTCAAAATCTCCAGCCCCGTCTATGACCCCAAAGGAGAGCACGGCAATCAACACATCTGCAACCGAAAAGGATGCAACTCCTACGTATGATACGGACACTGGGACCGAACGAGTTGTCTTCGAGGAAGACAATGGTGGGCTGGAGGTAGCAGACTTGACCACATTTGTCATTGATGGGATCCCTCTTCAGTTCGGCAAACCTTTTCAGTGTCCGTTCTGTGGTGTCATCAAATCAATTGGCACACGGTCCGAATGGAGGTATGTTGATTGTTTGACAGCAGGCTTGCAGTCTTTTATTTCTACGACTGGGTGCTAATTTGGAATTGTCTGTTTAGGCAGCACGTGTCTGAGGACCTCAAACCTTACGTCTGTACGTCCCAGCAATGCGGATCGGGTCTGTTTGCAAGTCGACGCGAGTGGTTTAGCCACGAACTTGAGTTTCACAGAAGCACCTGGAAGTGTCAGCCCTGTCACGTAAGGTTTCTGTCTCGATCGACTCTGATGCAGCACCTTAACACCAAGCACCAATCCCAAAACTTGAAAACCAGCGATATTTTGGCCATGGTTCAAACAAAAAGAGACTCCTCTACTAGATCCTGCCCACTGTGTGACGAATGGACAACGCAAGAGACGGAGAGGGACAGCACGAGCTTTTGCCAGCATCTGGGAAGGCATTTGCAGCAGATTGCACTGGAGGCGATACCACCGCTAAAAGGGATGGAAGCAATACCATTGATATCGCCTAGGCTCCTTGACCAGAGCGCGATCTTGCGGTTGCAGCCAGTGCAGAAAGTGGAAGCAGATATGAGGCTTCTTGGAATCGACCACCCTGACACTTTGAAGAGTATGACCAGGTTGGTATGGGAGTTGACTGACAGTGAAGAGTACTCGGTTGCTGAGCAGTTGGCGTTGAAAACGTTTGAAATGAGTAAACAGGCGCTAGGGGAGGACCATCGCGAGACACTCTACAGAATGTGTACGCTCGCTGAGGTATATCGTCGTACCCATGACACCAAACACGAATCGGAATCTCTGGCACTACAAGGGCTTGAGGCGGCAAAAAGAGTGCATGGAGAGAATGATCCCAGCGTGGCAAATTTCCTATCTGTACTAGGAGAGATTTACACGGACCTGGGTCGGTTATCGCTTGCCGCTGACGCACAAAACAAAGAGCTGAGGATATACATGGAGAACTTTGGAGGAGAAGATCCCAGCACTATGCACTGTATGGACAAGCTATCAGACACATTACTGGACGACAAGAGGTACACAGAGGCGGAGCATTTCGCCCTCCAAGCCTTCGAACTGCGAAAGAGGGCGTTTGGACCGGATCACACGGAAACTCTGGTCAATATGTACAATCTGGCATTGATTTGGCACGCCATGGGCCGCTACGATGAAGCAATCCAGTTGCTGGAGGACTATATTCACAAACAGCAGAACATCCTAGGAGAAGAATCTACTACAGACATCGAGACGTGGCAGATGTTGCTGGAAAGTTGGAAGGCCCGTCAAGTCTCCAGCCAACCACAGAATGCCAGGCGAGGTAAATCGCGAAGTGGCGGTCAGTAAAATATTGGAGCTAGACAGCGTACTATACGATGCCCATCATACTCAGCTCAAGGGCTGCGGAAGCTGGGTTACCGAACTGCAAACCCAGGATGCCACTACTATAGCTCCAATAATAATCAAGTTCAGTCAAGCTGGTGTATCTCAGTAAATACTACGTCTCTATCCGGGTCTCGGTGAGATTATGTCCTCGTACATATTTTCAACCATGAAGCCGCCGGGGCCGGAAATATTGGCCATCAGCCCCAACTTTAATAGCAACACATTCTTACCCAAGCTATCACATACGACCATAGACAGCTGAAAATACGGCATCCCGTCCGCTCTGCCCGAGTCAAACAGCTGATCGCCGGACTAGTACTCAGGTGGGTGACCACTGGGGAATCCCTGGTGTTGTATGTTTTGGTGAATTTTTGGCTCCACTCAATGCCCCTTTTAACCCCTTCTAATCCCTGCTCTTGGTCTTCGCGGAGCCGACAGATACCATCCACCAACAGCTCCCCATCTTTGATCTGAACATTTCCAGTTACCTTCACAGCCCCCAGAATTATCGCGGCAACGGAAGTCCTGACCGACATTTCAAGATAGTTGAAACTCGCTAACGTTAATGAGAATCATTGCAGATGTTGGTATGTTGTTGGTTGCTAGTTGCACAACCAACCCATCATCACACCCCTGTTCCAAGGTTACATAGGAGCTGACTATTGCTACAGAAATCATCATATGTCCTAATATGGAAATGTTCGTGACTAGGCTTTGTGTAATGCATTGATATTCAACAACCAACAACCACATCGCCCTAACCAGACCTCGCAACCCTTGTATCTTGCCCCCGTGTTGTTGCCGGTGTATGGAATCCTCTGTATAAGATCCCGAAAAGACGCCTTTCAAACCCAATTCTTTGAACTCTTCATCAGCTGATCAGACCTTTATTTCTGTACTATCTTGAAACCTCAACATGGGCCAATGCCAATCCATCAACGCCCAACCTGGCGAAGGCTGCTTGTACGTCTACCACTTTCAACTGGATTCCCCTCTTTGACATCAATTCGCCTCACTAAACCTCTCCCACAAAGTGAACTAGCCCAACGTTGCCGCATCTCGCAATACGACTTTGACCGCTTCAACCCCAACGTCTGTGGGAACATCTACGTCGGCATGCGCATGTGCTGCACCCAACCCGTCTGCTGCCTCTCCCCACCATCGAGTCGCCGGCGGACGGTACCCCCACCGCCAACCATCGAGCTATCGCCCCCGCCCCCCGCTGGTGGGTCGTGCGAGACTTACACCGTGAAGGGCGGGGACACCTGTGAGGATATCGCTTCTGCTTTTGGGGTCTCGGAGGATGGGCTTGATAGGATTAATGTCTTTACTTCTGGTTGGGGAGGGTGTTCTGCTCTTGTGGACGGGACGGTGATTTGTGAGTGTCTGGTTCTCTTTTGTGGTTTCTATGGCGGCTGTAAGTACCTATTCAGTGCGGATTTGCTAACATGGCTTTTCTGTCAGGCGTTAAGGAGTCTGTACCGGATGACGAGTCGGAGTTGAGGAAGTTGTAAAGCGGAATGGGAGGGGCCTTTGGTGTTATATGTATTTTCTTTCTGTAAGAAAGACACGTCATGTTACTTTATTACTATTCTATTTACCTTGCCTTGGCGTAAATACCTAGGTGTACTGTGACATGTAACTTGTGGATAATCCACTTGTTATCATCATCAGCTTGCAACACAACGGCGCATGCATGCAGAAAATAATTAAGAGCTGTGATCACAGATGTATGGATCCCAAATTACCTAAGATACTTGGCCGGGTCCTTGCGGTTGTTCTTACGTTTGATGAAGAGCCTGAGCCATAACCACTTTCTGTTTGCACCTAACCAACACGGCCTGTTCTCAGGGGCTTGCAAAGCCCCGAACAGCTAGCGTCTTTGGAATTCGTTAACTACCAGGTACTTGCACAAGAATATCCGGGTCTAGAAGTCTCTTGTTTTTTTTTTGACTATATCGTGAGGCTCTGCGTCTGAGAGGGGGTCGAGAGGTGCACCACACACAGCACAATCCAAATCTTCAGTTGGGACAACACACCGGTACCGGGATCATGCAGATTTAGCTAATTTCCTCACCATTCGAATCGATCAAATGATCAAATCAAATCATTATTCTTATCTTGCAGGCGCCCCAAAAGTATTGTCGGCAAATGATACGCCGTCATTGCTCAGCCTTATGCGGGGCGAGCACCATCGCCCTTCTGTGGTGTTCTAGTTTTGGAAAATGCAGTTTGGAATTGTCAGGAGGTGTTTGCTTGAGGCTTGGCGAACATGACGCCAGCCTTTCTAACGGGGGGCTCGTTCCTCTCGGCTCTTCTTCCTGGCTCCCTCTGGCATTCTCTTTCTTCATGTCCTTTTATCTTACGGCTTCGCTTGATCACTGCCTGTTGATCATACTCTCGCGTTCATAGCTCTTTTCACCACACATCAACTTCTCTACCCCCCCCTTCCCCCCGGGGGGGTCAATTTGACGCTATCAACTTGATAATGACAGTTTCTCAGACCTTGGAAAACGGACAGCCGCCTTTTGATGAGCAAATTCAGGCCCCAGAGTCCTGTGTTGCTTGCCAACGCACAAACAAGAAAGTCTGGACTTGCGTCCAATGTGGGCATTATACCTTTTGCGATGACTACTGGGACAAAGAGCGCCCTCATGGTCCTGGTACGCCGACAAGATAGGTCCGTTGAGTGAGCAGACTCGTTTCTGATTAGTTTCAACAGGTGCTAGGGGTTTCGACAACCGTCCACATGCAAAGGTTGACCCGGCAGTTGTTGAACGTCTTGAACGTATCTTCGGCGAGGGGAGGACTAAGGAAGAACAAGCAGAATTATTCGATACTGATGCGGAAACCATGTGGTTTGGTGTGAACAAGAGCAGCGATGAATCGTTTCTCGACTATTCAGACCGCTTGATTGATATAATGTTGGAAAGTGATGGGTTCAGCACGTCAGATCGTTATCCGCAGTTGATCTCCTTTGTTGGCAAAACAGGTACATCGAACATGCAGTCCTGATTCTCCCTAAACTTATCGCTAACAACAGCAGGTGAGGGTAAGAGCACAGTCATCAAGATGCTCATCGGCCGCGAGCAAGCGAGTATTGGGGGCACCAAATCCTTTCCTGCGCCCGTGAACGGTCTAACCGACGACCTCATATCGAATTCTGGAGACGTCCACCTTTATGCCGACCCAGCTACTCATCATGAGAAACACCCCGTCTTACTTGCCGACTGCGAAGGCCTGGGTGGCGGCCAAAATGTACCAAGAGCCAAGGAACATCAGAGCAGTAGAAAGGTCTGCACGGCGAAAGTTCCAGCGAAAGATGGGATGAGCCAAAGACTCCAGAACCTCCTCCAGAGTGTATGCTGTGAAGTGTTTGTTTCCTCGAACACTTTACACATTTTCGGACGTCACTGTGTTTGTGGTTCAGGAACCTAGGTAAATCACTCATGCAATATCCACGTGGATTTCTACTGACCTGCTTTTCTTGATCCTAAGTAGGACATTTCAATCAGATGTTCTGGTGAACTTGGTGGAATGGGCGTATTCCTCTATCGAGAAAGCTGTTAATCAACCAGTTCTGCCTCATCTCATCATTACACTAAACCGAACCGACAATGCCATCAACGAGGAGCAATGGGACCCTCGCACCGCTACAGATATGCTACTAGCGGCTCACCAAGATATCACGCAGGTTCCCGAACTTATCAGAATTGTTCAGGGGCTAAAGCTCAGCGGCCACAGCGTGAAGTCCGCAAAAGAGCTTCCCGAATGCTTTTACCAGTCCATCACAGTTGTTCGTATTCCAACCAAAGGACGATATATGCAGATCGATGAAGAAATCGGTAAACTCTACAACACAATTAGAGACAGGGCCACGAGTTCGCACACAGAGAAGAGGTCCGTACGTATGGCGCTCAATGCGGAAAAGCTCCACCAATTCATGAACGCCGCATACAATCACTTTTCAGAGAACCTCGATAAGCCGTTCGACTTTGTCAAGGAGGCCCTACAACTTAACCCCATGCCTCACGACTTTCAAGGCCATATGCTACACCTTGTACTCGCTGTTCGCAACGGAATGAGTAGTATGGGATATCCCAACACCGAGCGCCAGCTCCTGGAGAAGGTGAAGTCCCTGCTCGCATCCTGTATGACACTTGTTATCACTCGGAACAATCTCACAGGTGAGAAGTTTGACCTCTGAGTTAGGTAATTTAGTAACTCGCTGACAGATATTGCAGGGACAATCAAGGACCTCTTGAATAGCACGTTTCGCAAATCAGCGAGAATGGCTTTTGAAGAGCTCTGTGACAAATGGCTACCTTGTGGCTTTGAAAGCAACGGTTATACGTGCTGCAACGTCCGATTCGCCCATTTTAAGGGTCACCAGGCCTCGAATGGCAAAATATTTCAGAAGGGGCCATATCAGCCAAGTATCACTGACGACCAGTTCGAGGGGTGGTTTAATGGAATCGGTGCAGAGCTGAAGAAGATGATGGAAGAGCTCCCACGTGCCGGAAGCGAAAAGGACAATGCCTGGGGTAAGCATCTTCAGCGCTTGGAGCGGTTTTATGACGACAACTCAAAGCTCTCCCACTCGGAAAATGTCAGCCACGGGACTTGTTTTTGCTGCATCAACAGCGTTCCAGAGCAAATGTCTTGCCTTGCGGGCATATTTTGTGCACCGAGTGTGTTAGCGCCCTTGGTGATCATAAAGAACGGGACATCATGCTCGTCAGATATTACCCCTTTCGCCGCCACACGCATAATTGGAACAGGGATCCAGTTCAGATTAGGTTCAAGCCAGAGGGTGCTGGAATACGCGCTTTGTGTCTAGATGGGCAAGTCTTACATCACACCCTCTCATGGCCCTGTTCCATGTACACTCGCTGACAATCTCCATTTACCAGAAGCGGTGTACGGGGTCTTGTTGAGTTGATCATGCTGGAGGAACTACAGAAACTCCTCAACAACATCCCCGTGCAAAACTTTTTTGATCTGATTGTGGGTACCAGGTAAGTCCATATTGCTCTCAGCTTGCCACCATCAGGCATTGTGAAGCTAACTATGAACTCTTTAGCACCGGAGGAATCTTTTCTCTCGGCCTGGGCGTAAAAAATCTTCCTGTATCAGAGTGCATACGCGATTTCAAGGACCTCTGCGGGAAGGCGTTCACCCCCCGAAGACTGAAAAAACTGTGAAGCAGCTGGTACAGGACAAGACCTCTCAACGAAGGGGTGCAGGGAGTCTTCGGGGAGGACTCTTTATTATTTGGTGGCAAACACAGGGGACCTCGGTCGCATGTCAAAGTTGCGATCAGGGAACTCCGACAAGCCTATCCTGCTAACCAACTACAACGTCACCGGCCCCGAACGCGAGAAGTTTAGGCGTATGTGGTATTCGTTCTTTGCCTGCTCTTCCCTTCTGGAACATACCCCAGCTAGGTACCTCAGGTAATTAAGGTACTAACTGATCATAGTGAACTACGAAATTCTGCGTTCGGCAAATCCCCAGAATGAGATAAAGGTCTGGGAAGCGTAAGTCCCCCTTTCACTCAATCTGCACTTATTTTGCACATGGTTAATTTATTGATCGCCCTGCTCACAACAGTGCGTTGACAACATCGGCTGCACCTCCCTACTTCAAGCCGTATGTTCAACCTGCTACTGGGAAATCTTTCGTAGATGGAGGTTTGCATTACAATTGTCCCGCTTGGGTTGCTCATCATGAGCGTCAGATTCTATGGAAGAATGTCCAATATCAACAGCCCGATGTACTGCTATCTCTTGGAACTGGTCTGGGTACCAGTAAGGATGCTGTAACTACCCAGGTCCCCCAGCCAACAAAAAAGGGGTTTCGCAACTTGGTCAACATCATCCTCGGTATGGTTCAGGGCCAACTGAACAGTGAGAAGGCCTGGGACGATTACTACGCGCATGTCGCCATGACCGACAATCCCGAAGACCGGGCACGCTATATCAGTCTCAATGTTATGTTTGATATAAGACCGGGTCTAGACAAGGTTGACCAACTGGATCTGTTGGAGACAACAACTCGTCTAAGTGCCAGAGGGAGCCTCGAACTGAAAGACGCGGCCGATAGGCTGATTGCAAGCTCATTTTGCCTCGAGAGGGAAGGCCCTGTGATCAAGGGCCGTGTTTGCAAAGGTATGTGTTGGTTGTCCCATTGTTTCCCATATCACCACACCTTGAGAGACACACCCATCCTGCAGCTCGATTTATGCCGGCGTTTTAGACGAGTGCCATAGACCTCGCATCCCCCCGAAAACAAGCTTCATGACTGGAAGCTGAAATCATGACAGCTTTGCCATTTTTTTTCTGGACGTTGTGATTTCCAAGTGAAAACCTACTAATATGTCCACGACAGGTTCCATCCGCTGCAGATTCGACCCCGGGAGCGATGATGCCAAATCCCTCGGCACTCTGCTTTTCAGCCGTCTCACGCCCGATTTTGAGCCACATTTCTTGCTTCAGACCGATTACCGCCAGCGTAAAGAGTAAACCAAAATGATTGCCATCAGACAAGAAATGTGGACCGAGATGTGCAGAAGCGGAAAATTCGAGGTCGAGGTCGAGATGGAAAGAGCCTCCTCCGGCCCTGTTCGCCTCTCCCTTGGCCTTCGCGCGCCTACACCAGGCCAAACTTCTCCAAGTTATTTATCCATTAGCGGATTTCCCAGACGACTATATGACGAAACTGTCAGAAGATCCATGTCGACTCAACCACATGACAATGACTCACACTCAATGGTCGGGCGAGCAAATACATCATGGAACTTTTTACCTCTGGCCAGACCAGATGACAGCCCCATACTGATGACCACCCAAAGCACCCCAAGGGATCTGGAAAGAAGGCCTGCACAGGAGACATATGATGCCTCTACGCTTGATCGGCCTCGAAGTCGTGCATGAGTGCGTCTGAGCCGAGGAGTTGGATATAGGTGTTTTTTTGGCGTTCTCTAAAGTCCAATCGAGTTATCTGCAAGGTTTAAAGACTATCTTCTATAGAATATTGACTATATCCTGACATATAGCGACTACATCTTTCCAATTGAACTTGGGTATCCAACATGTCAGGGGGTGACATTGAAGGAGGCTGTTGATCAACAGGCTTGGTGTCACGTGATTGCGCGTCAGCCCCTCCAAATTTTCGCGTTTGGCACTTGCGCTTGAGTGACAGCTTCCAAATTGTCGGGACTGCGACCCCGGTCGACCTGCGACGTCATTCACGCTTGGGTCATTCCCGCCCCAATTGTGCATTTAGAGTTTCGTGGGGGCTTGCTGCCATCCGAACTCTTTATTCTCCTTTTCGCCGGACCCCGAGCTTGTGCTTCTCTTCAGCTACGAGACCACTGCACTGGCAGTTCGCCACGTCTGGCGTCTAGCGTCTAGCGCGTTCGAACTCAACATGCCGCCTCGCAAACGTGCCTCCGACGACAGCGGGTGGACGCCCCCCGCCAAAGCCCTGCGTCTCACGTTTTCGCAGCCCTCACCTCCTTCGCAACCGTCCACTTCTTCACAGCCGTCAACTTCTTCGCAGCCGCCAAGCTATTCGCAGCCCACAGCCGCCGAGCGAGAGGCATTCCAGAATCCTCCCCTGAGTCCTCCCGAGCAAGCTGAGCTTATCGCCCTCACTCAGGCTGACGATGAACCGCTCACTCAGACTGACGATGAACAGCTGGAGCTCTACGGTGGCTTTGGTAGGTACACTCTGCCCCATCAGTATAAAAGGCCTACTAACACGCTTCCGCCAGCCTCAAAAATTGTCGGTGTGAGATACTACAATGGTGTCGTGACGATTGGCGAGGTCGTTGTTTCCAAGCGAGAGCCCTCCAACCAGTACGACGAAAATGCCATTCGCATCGACAATGTGTTTGGCAGGCAAGTCGGTCACATTCCCCGCAATGTCGCGTCCAAGCTTGCTCCATACATGGTACGTCTTCCCGGGCCCACGAGCCTGTCGATATCCCCTAACAAACTGTAGGACGCTGGAGACATTGACATTGAGGTTGTCGTCAGCGGGCCTAAAGAATACTATGAATGCCCAGTCCAGATCAACATCTACGGGACGAGTCACCCCGCGCGTCGCCTTGCTTTGGAGGACCGTCTCAAGAAAGACAGGCTGCTCAAGGCCACCCAGTTGAAGACTACCCGGAAGCAGAATGAGTTACAGCGTCAGGCTGCCGAGAATGAGCTGCGCCGTCAATATGCGGAGAATGAACGGCGTCCATCTATGGGTTTGAAGAGCGACAGGTCTGCCGTGGGATTGCCCGTTCCGGCTCCGGCTCCGGCATCGGAAACCACTCTAGAGGACCTCACCAAGGCCAGTCAGTCCGTGAATGTTCGGCCAACTGGTGGAGGTTTTGTCCAGACGCTGGCCTTAAGCGAGGAGCAGCTCTCACAAATGCCCCTAGCTGAGCAACCCAAGTCCATCAAGGCCAAATTGCTGCCATATCAGCTCCAAGGTCTTGCTTGGCTGACCGCGAAGGAAAACCCAACCTTCCCGCAACCTGGCTCCCCAGACTCGGTACAGCTTTGGAAACGCGATGCCAAGGGTAACTACAACAATCTTGGCACCAACATCACCGTTGCAACGCCCCCTTCTCTTCTGTCAGGAGGAATCCTGGCCGATGATATGGGTTTAGGCAAGACTCTGCAATTCATCAGTCTGATCATGACTGGAGGGCCCGGAACCACGCTTATTGCGGCGCCTGTGAGCGTAATAAGCAACTGGGAGCAACAGATTCAGCGCCATGTCCACGAGAAGGACGCCCCTAAGGTTCTTATTCATCACGGCACGACCAGGCAGACCACTGCCAAGGCATTAAAGGAGTACGGTGTTGTCATTACAAGCTATGGTACCTTGGCTAGCGAGGCTTCTGGCAAAGGACCGCTTTCTCAGATTGAGTGGCGCCGGATTGTTCTCGATGAAGGTCACACCATTCGCAACGCCAAGACCAAGGCTGCTTTGGCCGCTTGCCAGCTCAAGGCGCAGTCACGATGGGTTCTGACGGGAACCCCCATGTATGTTATTTGATGCTGTGCCCATTCTCGAGCTGTTGCTAACTATTTCCAGCATCAACAACATCCGAGATCTGCACTCTCTGCTTAGATTCCTCCGCATCACTGGTGGTATCGAGCAACCAGAAGTGTTCAACATGGTGATTGGTAGACCTATAGCGCTTAAGCAGCGTCGCGCCGTGTCTCTTCTTCAGCACCTTATGAACGATCTTTGTCTCCGTCGTCTCAAGGACATGAAGTTTGTGGACCTCAAGCTTCCGGCCAAGACCGAATACATCCACCGTATCACCTTCTGGGAGGATGAGAAGAAGAAATATGACGCTTTGCTTTCTGAAGCGCAGGGCGCGCTGAGGGATTTCCAGAGCCGCAAGAAAGGGCGTGGTGCCGAGAAGAATAGATTCCAGAGTGTGCTTGAGAGACTTTTGCGTCTTCGCCAAACGTGTGTGTTCTCGTCTGTTTGTATTGTGACTTTCGCACTAACGTGCCACAGCTGCAATCACTGGACACTGTGCAAGGATCGCATCACCGACCTTCTTCAGCTCCTCGAAGACAACGATGTCGTGCCACTCAACGCCAAGAACCGCGCCCTTTTGCAGCAGGCCCTCCAATTGTTCATAGAAAGCCAAGAGGAGTGTCCTGTTTGCTTCGAGGTCATGAAGAGCCCGGTCATCACTCACTGCAAGCATGCTTTCTGTCGGCCTTGCATTTCCAAGGTGATTGAAATCCAGGGCAAGTGCCCTATGTGTCGGGCTAGCCTGTCCGAAGACAACTTGGTTGAGCCCGCACCTGAAAAGGGCATCGAAGAAATGGAGGTGGACAACCTCGACCGTGAGACCAAGAGCTCCAAAACCGAAGCCTTGCTCAAGATTTTGCAAGCTACCCTGAAGAAGGAGGGGTCAAAAGTCATCATCTTCAGCCAGTGGACCTCCTTCCTCAATGTCATCCAGCGTCAGCTTGACGAGGCTGGGTACACCTACACTCGTATTGACGGCAGCATGAACGCCACCAAACGTGACGTGGCTATCAAGGCTCTTGACGAGGACCCCAACACAAGGATCATGCTGGCTAGTTTGGCGGTCTGCAGTGTGGGATTGAACTTGGTGTCTGCTGATACTGTCGTTTTGGCAGATAGCTGGTGGGCGCCTGCGATTGAGGATCAGGCGGTGGATCGTGTGCATCGGTTGGGGCAGACGCGGGAGACGACGGTGTGGAGGTTGGTGATGGAGGGGACGGTGGAGGAGAGGGTGCTGGACATCCAGGCGGAGAAGAGGGAGTTGGTGGGGAAGGCGTTCCAGGAAAGGGAGAAGAAGGAGGAGAAGAGGAAGGAGACGAGGATGGCGGACGTGATGAAGTTGCTTTCTTGAGGGGTGAGGGGATTTGGTGTTTGTTATGAGGTGCTAGTATTGCTAGATACCTGTGCGGGGATATTATGGTTTGTTAATGGGGGTATGTTGGCAAGATATCCTGTGTGTTTTATGGGTGGTATTTATGGTCGGCGGGTCATTTGCTAGAGGTTAATGCGGGTAGAAGGATACTGGGTGGTGTGTATAGTTGGTTGTAGTCTTTGCCAAGATTTAGCTTTCTGTTTAGCTGGTAGGCATGTAATTTTTTCTTTCCCGGTACATAACTTATCTCTGCCATAGCTTTGTAGCTACTATTGCCTGTTAGCTTGACAGAGCATTGTGTGTTATAAAACTCATCATTCTTCAACTTGCAATGTTGTATGTGTATGGTGAGAGGAAGGCTATGAGGTCACACTGTTGGACAAGACTGGGGGGCTGATATAGACTGGTCAACTATCGTAGTTCTTTCTTTCATGACACCAGTGTTTACATATCTTGGACACGAAGAAACATCATGCATGTCATAACAGTCATTTCTTTTCCTTATTCTTTTCCTAAAATCTATCTGCCAGACCTACCCGAACCTGGTCCTGTCCGTCATAAAACCCGTCCCAAAAGCAAATGTACAACTGAAGATAAGTATGTTTGAAGAAGTGAAAGCCAACCCGTCCCATCCCATCCCTCCCAATGATCAAAGTAAACACCGACGACAAAAAAGTCCCTAAGAGTGTCTAAGGAGTGTGAGAATAGAAGTGAAAGATAAAAGTTGAACACCTGACGACGAGTCCAAAAAGTCCACCCACCTAGTCCCTCCCCGCCCTCCTCCTATAGTTCTTACTCTTCTTACACCCCTTCTTTCCCCCTCCAGTCGTCACCGGAGCCGCAGCCTCAGTAGTAGTCGCAGGCCTAGTAACAAGCGTAGTAGGAACAGGTGTCACAACCACCGCTTCTCTCGTCGTGGTAGGAGCAGGGTCATTCTCTTCTTCTTCCTCCTCCTCACCCTCACCCTCACCCTCACCATTCCCACCCTCATACCCCCCATCACCCCCCTCAACCGGCTCCGGCTCAGGGACCACAACCCCCGGCTCCTCCACCCCCGGACTAACCCCCACCCCGGGAATCCTCCCCGGCACGGGCGCCGAACTCTCACTCTCACTCCCCACCTTCTGCCCCTTATTCCTCGGCCCCTTCCAATCCCCACTCCGGCAACTATCCACAATCTTGTCACACTTCTTCTCCTGCCAGACTTTACACCCCCTCGAGCCGCTCGGCGGCGCAGAAGTATAACATTTATCCAACTGCGCCCAGCAGTCATCGCTCGCCTTCCAGCACTCATTCTCGTTGCTATAATCCGGCACTTCCTTTGCGCACCAGTTCGCGTTCTTGAGAATACAACCCGCTGGGATCACACCGTCGGTTTGCTTAGCGTTTGTGCTGGGGCCAGGACCAGATGGACGGAAAATAGCAGGCCCGACAACTTTGTAAGGTTTGGTATCAGGGTTGGATTCATAAACATTGTATGTAACTCCCGGATCAGAGTACTTGACATGGCCGGGGATGGAGACTGATTTATCCGAGGGAATGGACACCGTTCCCGTGGTGGACCCCGACACAAACAACTGGGCGCAGTTGACAAAGAATTGGGGTCCTGAGCCGGAGATGTCGTGGATGGCGAGGATTTCTGAGCGGGCGAGGTAGTAACCTGTTGGCAAGCCGGAGGGGAGGGAGAAGGAGAGGAGGCCCTTGTCCGCGATGAGCTTCTTTGCTGACCATTGCTTGCGAGAGGAGTCATAGCCGTCGGAGTAGATCTTGAACCAGCCGCCGCCGGCAGGGTTTGTGGTGGCTATGTTGGAGACTTGCTTGAGGTAGATTGCTACTGAGCCAATGTGGGAGGGGTCGATGGGGCCGGCGCCCTTGGTGGGCTCGTCGGCCCATTCGCGGAAGGCAAAAGTGAGGGTTGAGCCCGCGGGTGCTGGGCAGGTGAAGGCCACGGGGGTGGCGCCTTCGAGGCCTGGGGGGAGGGTTAGATACTCGGGAAGTAGAAGGACAAAGGGGGGAGACATACCGCAGGCCATGTTGGCGTTGTTGATGCCTTCAATGGGAAAGGTGGCGCGGTCGGGGTTCTTGGACATGCGGATGCAAGTGCCATCACCTTGGTTGACGCCGTTGACGAAGACGGTGGTGAGGACTGTGTGAGCTGTTGCCAGGGAGGCAAAGGTGGTAGCCAGACTGGCTATGAAGAGGTTGGACCGCATCTTGGTGGGTGGCTCTCTGAGGATGTGATATTCTGTAGGCCAGCTGCCGAGGTTTGCAAGTCGAGTCGAAGTGACTGGCGCTGAAAAGGTCGAGGCGTCAAGAGGATGATCAACAATCCAGGCTATTGTCTCTGTCGAAGAGACTGTGAAAGAATAGGGAGAAACAAGAACCAAAAAGGAACGGCTGGCTCTTGATGCTCCAAACTGAAGCGAAGCGAAGGAATGACCAAAGATATACTTTTGTCAAAGCACGAGTAGAACTCCCAGAGTCGAAAAGAATGAATGACAGCCTGGTGTCAAAGAGGGAAAAGAGTCTCAGGACTGACTGAGGGACAAGAGAGGAAGCAAGCACCCGACCTGCTGGGACCAACTATGGTCTTATACAACAGGATGCACACGCAGCATGACAAACAAACAGCCGAGGAGAACCAACGCAACAATGATAGGGGGTGCAACCAACACAGGGATCCCTACCACGAGAGCAAGGGACCGGAAAATTTACCTCACGTTCCTGTGCATCCATACTGTGTGCATGCAGGTACCGAGATCCTCCCTGCCACTTACATGTAAATCCTCCCGGCGTAGCCATCCAAGAGCACCGGTCCGGAGGTAGGGTCGGGATGTTTCCCCAGGGGTCATCCATCCAACACAGGGTACAGTCAGAAAAAGAATCCAGCCGTAAAGGACTCGGTTTGTTTGTCGTGAGCAAACAACCCCTTATGATTGGCGCCCACCTCCTGGACCACCTCAGCACCTCCCAACGCCACTGTTTGAACCTGAGCCATCCGCCTGCATATCACAAAAGGGGGGCTAACAATCGCGGGGTGGAAGCTGCGGGAGTCCGTTTGCTTGGTTGTGCGACGTCATCCCGTCATTCCCAATGGATCGACTCTCCTCTTTTTTTTTGTTTACCCCTGGATTTTGGCTGCCGTTGAAACACGCCGCCAAATGCAGGGGTAGCAAGAGAGGTTTTTGTTTTCCTCCGAAGTTGGTGCGGGAACATGCAGATCAGTAGATCGTCCGTCCCTCCACTCCGGTGGTCCAGGTCCGTGGATTCCAAGACATTGGTGTTTCGTAACTTCTCAGCTGGGAGAGAGCGGTGATGCGGCTCTGGTGGTGATGGTTTTGCGCTTCGAGAAGTTGCATTGGCGGCAATCTTGGTAGGTTTTAGCGGCGAGCGGCAATGGGGGAAGCTCGCCCAATCGTGGGTTAACCGCCGTGGTGGGTTCCCCTCTATTTTTGACGACGACCAGAACCCAGGCTAATAAATATCAGATTGCGAATGGTCGTTCAACTGATGATGACGAGAGCGAGATTTCATCTATTTGACGGGCACAGTAGTTGTTAGCTTGTTACTGTCAGAAATGACATATACAGCAGCTACTGCTGGTGAATCGGCCTTCAGTCTCCGATGTCCGAGGTGCAGGTGAAGGGACTCGCGGAAAATGCTCCAAAAATGTGACACGACACGGCACTTATTTCCAGGCGCATTTTTCACACAGGAGGTGATGTGAAAAGTTCCTCGAGAGCTGAGATGAGGAGATGTGAAACGTAACAGTGCGGACGACGATTTGGTCGAGGCTGAAAGACTTGGTCTGATGAGCGGCGGCAGTAGTCGCAAGGAATGGGTATATCTCCTGTCTTGGCGGTTGATCTTGAAGAAGTGAGGTCTAATAGAAGCCGCTGTCAATAAAGTTGATGGCTGGAAGGAATAATAGGTACTGACCACTCGAAGTGAGCAGGCTGGGTTGCTCCCTCGTGCCTGCCCTCGAAGCAAGCCCTCCTTTGACCTCATTCATTCAGTCTCCCTCCATAAACTCGCACATCACTCAACTACCGCAACTCATGCAGCCAGCCTCCGACTCCAAAGCAGTGTAATCCATCACCATCTCAAACCCCTCATTCCACCATCTCCATCTCTTCCGCGTCCGATCCACAACCTCGATAGCCTCGCTTACACAGCACAAGTGTTTCCCCGGACGGAGCAACATACCTGCATCTGACACCAATATTGATCTCTCTTCAACTGCCGATCCTTCAGTGATTACAGTAGCCTCCCGTCAAAAGCACCCACCCGAACTCATTCACACATGGCTCACTCACTTGCGCACTCACCCATGGCTCACCCACTTACGCACTCATCCATGAACGAGACTTCTAATCCTCACTAAGCCACCGACATACGGCCGTGCGACCCTTTTCTGTTCCTCTGCCCAATCTTTCCTGCGATGTCTCAAGCCTACCTGCCTACCTTCCTTGATGTTGTCAGATCATGCCTAGCAGCCCAACCCGTCCCGAGTCCGACAAGACAAATCCAGACCTTTTACTTCTCTCATCATACCTACCTACCTACCCTACCAAACTTATAACTCGGATGCTCGGCACTGCCCAACCATGACGATACCGACAAAACCCCAAGGGTGAACGTTAGTCATTCATCTCGATCACCAACAGGATTGGACAGCGGATCTGAGAGAGCAGAAGAAGGAAAACAAAACAAAACAAGGCAATGCATTGAACAAGAAGCAAGCGTCTAACCATCTATATAAAACCCAAATATACCCATGAGGTATTATTCCTTTCATCCTTGGATTTTCCCGGTGATTCATAACGATAGTCATAATCAGCCCTCTTTTCATATCTACCTCATGTAGCATACCCCTATCAAAGGTGGTATACTCAGAGAAGATGCCCAAAACCCAGACTCAAACCCATCAGTTCCCTATACCCAAAGAAATTGCAAAAGAAAAAGGATCTTCAGAAAAGCCGTTATCGAAGTCTAAAAGGTACCCTCAATGGCGAAGAAAGAGGTGCAATGGCGAAGAAGTAGATGCGGCGGTGAAGCAAGAGGTGCAGTGGTGAAGAAAGAGGTGCAGTGGCGAAGCAAGAGGTGCGACGACATGCTGAGGGGTTGAGTGTCGAGAGCTCTCTTCGGAGAGCCAGGCGCTGATCAGTGGTCGTAGGTGTTCCTTGTCCAAACTGGAGTGTCCTCTTGATCCACTTCATGGGGTGCATCATATTCATCCACCACTAGATCCGGCCGAGGTGTATAAGCCTGCTGGAAGGCCGAGGGATTGTTGGTGCGCATTCCAAACGCACCAGCAGTTTGACCGGCAGAAAATAAGCTGCCCGTGCCGGCCAGGAGAGGGCCACTAAGAGGGTCGTTGATCCCAGATAGTGGCTCATGAGGTGCATGCATGTCGCCCATCAAGGAAGCCGGCCGAGTTGTAGAAGGCTGCTGGGAGGTTGGGGGGTTGTTGATGTACAGTTGACCATGTCCAGCAGGAACCGCGGTCTGGCCAGAAAAAAAGCTGGCACTAAAGCCCAGAGGATAGCCTTCTAGATTGCCGTTGATGCCTGTAAGCGATCGGCTCATCTCATTTTGAGCAGCCACAAACTCAACATGACTGGATGCCGGTAGTGAAGCCACTCCAGTCGGGGTCTCAGAGGCCTGCGAGTAACTGAAGCCGTGAAAAGGAATCCCGTGGGGGGGGGGCAATAAAGCAGTGGGACTTTTGTTGCACCAGGCACAGCTCTCACTGTTTTTAGGAAGTGAGATGCCCAAGGGTGGCTCTGTCGGTATCGGCGAGGTGGGTAGGGAGTAGGATACGAAGCCGAGCTTTCCAGCCCAGAAGGCCAACAGTTCACTATCCTGAGCATTGAAATGGCGAGTCTCCAACACCTTCCTCAACACGAATGAGGTATGCGGCTGCCATTCGAAGTGTTCCACGTCGTTGCCCTGAGCCTTGAAGGCCTCATACACACCATATTGGCGCATGAGATTCCGGAAACGATTCGAATAAGACCACTCGTGACCTGCGGCCATGTGGTTGGCGATGTGCTTGCAGTAGTCTTGAGCGGTTGCAGTAATTCTTGCAGGTTCGGAGTGGTCGGATACTATAAAGACCTCCCTGCAAACCTTTGCACCACATGCAAAGACGACCTGTGGGCATAATGCAGTTTTGCAGTCTTCCAGTAAGTCTTCCAGTTTCCCACAGCGAATCGGTTTACTGTGGTGCAGGGGTAAGTTTTGCCTTCTTGTCAAGTACTCGCGCTAGTCAAGGTCCACCCTGACGATTGTATTCTACAAAATAATCACCATATCTATAGCTAGTATTTTGTATGCATACCATTCGCTGCAATTACTGCCTCACACCGACTGGGCATCGAATCCAACAGCGTTTGAAGGTAAGATTCCGGAAGCTCTTGCCAGGCCTCCTCCACGTACCTCTTCAACTTCGCGTACGACGGCTTCTCCTCAAGGCCGTATTTATCCTCAATATAATCCTTCATCCAATTCCAACAGGATTCAATAGGGTTTAAATCTGGGGAAAAAGGAGGCCAATCAACTACTCTAATCTTCCTATTCTCAAGATCCTTCTTCGTACCGGCCGCTCGATGGCCAGGTGCGCCGTCCTGCATAAAAGAAAGCTGTAAATGGTGTTGCTCGAAGGTATCGTTAATAAATTCGTGGACGTTAGGAAGGATATTCTTTCGGTAAGAATACTCATTGATCGATCCCCATTCCTTTTCCCAGAAGATACCAGGGCCTTTAGTTGAGCCGTAAAAGCAGCCCCAGAACATCCACCCTCCTTTTCTCTGGTGCTTTTCAACGATACAAGTAGGGTCCCATTCCTCGTCGATTCGGCGTGTAACATACTGCTTACGGTGAGGACCACCAACTACCCAGGTTTCGTCACTCCAAAGGATTGTACGCCATTGTTCGAGAGTCCAGTCTTTATGTTCTATAGCCCAGGCCAGTCGCTTTTGCTGGTTGGCTTCTGAAATAGGAGGCTTCTTCCGAGCAACTCGACGGCGAAATCCGTGGCGGTAAAGGGCGTTGCGAATCGTAATCCAGTTAAGAAGGGAGTTGAAAAGGGCAATAGAAAGCTCCAGGAAGCTCATCCGACGGTGTGCCTTTGATTCACACACATACCGAATAAGCTCGAGCTCTTGATCGGCCGTAATAACGCGTGGTCGGCCAGATCGTGGGGCGACCT